AACCGGTCTTGTCCTGCTGGATGTGGAACGAGCCTTCGACCGAGTTTGGCACGATGGGCTCATCGCCAAAATGGAAGCCGCCGGAATCGATGCAAACATGTGCCAACTGATCCAGAGCTATCTAACACAAAGAGGGTTCATGGTGAAGATTGGTACATGCCACTCAACAAGACGACAGCTGGAAGCAGGAGTGCCCCAGGGGTCAGCCTTAGCCCCCCTGCTCTACAACATCTACACTCACGACGTACCGAAGACAGCTGACACAATGCTGGCCCTATATGCAGACGACACTGCTATAGCCGCCAAGCATCGACGACCCGAGATCATCCGTAGGAGACTACAGGATGAACTGGACCACATCCAGGACTGGTGCGTGAAATGGAAAATCCGCATCAACGTCCAGAAGATGCAGGCAATCTTCATCCAACGAAGAAGGATTGCATGACCTCTCGAAGCATCCATCTTCGACGAAGATATCCAGTGGAGCGACAAAGTCAAATATCTGGGGATCGTATTTGACAAGTCCCTCACCTGGAAAGATCACACTGAAGCTGTCATCGCAAAGACCAGTGCAGCCATGGCCCAACTCTACCCATTACTGGGTAGACACAGCCGGATGCCGCTAGCGACCAAGCTACTGCTGATCAAGGCCATCGCCAGACCTCAGCTCGCTTACGCATTCGCGGTCTGGGGGTACGCTGCTCCCAGCTACCGTAAGCGACTTGCTGCTCTAGAGATGAAGCTACTCCGGATCACCACCAGTGCACCATCCTGCGTAAGAAACTCAACCTTGCGTAGAGACCTGCATTGGGACACCATCCACGAGTACATGAGGAAAAGAGCGGAGAAGACCTTCCAGAAAGCTCAGGACCACCCAAACGAGCAGCTACGACTCCTCATGGTCTACGATCCGGACGAGAGGCCTCGCTACCGCAGAGCCAAGTACCCTAGACCAAAGTCACAGTTGGCAGGCGCTAACTGGAACCTTGACTAGGACAACTCGCTGTTGCCCCCCCCCCCCACGGCGTGAAGGCAGAGGACGAGGACCAGGACGACCAGATCCAGAACCCACCAGGACCAGGACCTATCAGAAACAGGACCAACCGCGACCAGGACCCATCAGGATCAGGTAACAAACAAGTAGTAGAGGACCTGAAACTCTTGATTTTTCGAAAACAAGAGTTTCAAGAGAACATAGCAAACTCTACATCGATGCTCGCTTAACGACATCGATAGAACTGTGCGAGGTAAAGGGAACCAACCCGGCGTTCCCAGAGACTGAAACATATGAGGAGACGTTGTAGCAGACCGCAGGTCACGCACAACACATGGCCTACCGAGACGCTGATGAGTCGGGCCACGCGGAGGTTAGGGTTTAGTGGGTATTAGGTGGTCTCCTCAAGACAACCTGGAGTCTCACACACGCCGCAGCTCGGGCTATGGTATGGTGCATAAACACATTCCCCCTCACAAAAAAAAAAACGGACGTACGGACTTCACACGTTATTTTATTTTCTCGGATTGTACGCTATCAGTTGTAAATCGTCCAGGAGGCCTCTATGTTAGCCAATAAAGTGATGACGCAGTTAACACCGTCTTCCTACCCATTAACCTGGGAGAGCTAGCTCGGGAAGTAATTCAAGATTTTCCAGAAAAATACAAAGCTGTTGTGCTATTTTTCTTACACCCAGTATATAGCTAGTCACTGGTATCAAATCCACAGGAAACGTCTACTGTCACATCGCCATTATCAGTATTTCGGTGTCTGTGATTCTAGCCCCTATATTATTTGCGATAGCGCATATTGGCCTAATGTGAAGGAAGCAAAAAATGCTAGTCATGTTCAGCATAACACTTTCAGTGCAAATGGATGTGTCCATTTCCAGTTAATTTTTTAAAACCTCATTCCTTTTGTTTTGAAATAAGGTTAAGGTAGCAAAAAACTCGACTAACCTATTTGCATAGCAGGTATGTCGAACATTCATTCCACTAAAACTCCCAGCAACTTGAGGTATACAGAGTATTCTTCCCCATTTGAATCTCATTTCAGCTGCCGCCTAACTTCAGCGAGTGGAAACTTAATAACAGCCACCTGTGTCTTCTAACGGGTACAATTAACCCGGTTGTAGAGTTAACAATCTGAGAAAGCGCTTTATTAATTTAGTTTTTGGGTTGATGGCGAAGGTCTGCCTTGTTATTTGAATTTTGCGGAACGTTTCCCGCGTTTCTGTAGATCGATTAATTCAGTCCTCGAGTTGAAGGAAACAGATAACAAATAGCGACATATCCCTATCGTGCTTTTTAACACGCTTTTATTAGCTTGCCCTGTGTGTCTGTATGTAGCGGAATCTTTGAGCGTAATTTTCACCAATTTCCAGAAGCTTGACTAATTTGAAACTTCGCACACGTATCAAGGACCGAATACAATGCAGTAATTTGATAAGAGCCTTCCTTTATCCTTATAAGTAAAATTATGTAAAAAGCAGATACTTTAATAAAAATCCACGGATTTCAAATACTACTTTACGAACCCTGACACTGCAAGCCTCTGTAACTGAGTGGCAGAACACTGGTCTTGTAAACCAGGGGAATTGAGTTCAACAGTACAACGGAGGCAGATACTTTTTCAAGGTAGTGCATTTTTACCTTGTTCATCGCGAATGTTTGCTGCTGGACAAGCTCATCTGGCACTTAGTCGTGTAAGATCTATAGACGGTATTCGGGTTGAGGACCTTGATTGCTCTAAGTTAACAGGAAAAACCTCATGCAACAGTGAAGCTTACGAAACGATTCGTTAGACATTCCAATAAGACATGCCCACAAAGCACCATTTAATAAATCGAACTTAAAAATGAAAAATAAATAATAGTTTAAAAAAACAAAAAAAACACGCTTTTACAGCTAACCGAACTGAAAAGTAGAAAATAATTTCTAATTACAAAGAGTTTTTATTACAGTAACAGATGGTCGAACAATCAATCGTAATTAATGATCTCTAAATAAAATTGTAGTAAAATTTAATTTATTAACAGAGTAATTCAATTCAGAGTAAAAAGCTCTTCGTAATTGAAAATTATTTTCTACCTTGCAAATTGGTTAGCTATAAAAGCGTGTTTTTTAGTTTTTTAAACTATTATTTATATATTCTTTCGGTGTGGTAGCTGTATGTCCTAAGTCGGCGAGGGATACACGCGGACGAGCCTACGACAAAACAATGAATAGGCTAGTTGAAACTTTCTTTAAATCGTCCGATACTGCTTAAATATAATACACTATTTGTTACGTTAAACCAAAAAAAATAATACTATATTTTTACAGACCTAAAAGGCTGGCAGCAGCACAATCTCTCAAACTTTCAAACACATAAATATGACTTCTTCTAGTTTACGTGAAAAACACAGTAATTATCATACTTGTGTCGAGAAGCTTTATGTTTAAATGCCCGGTGAAATAAATATACGCAACATTTTTGCTTATTACTCACTTATTCTTTCATCTTATGTCTATTAATATATCAGATGCACTGTACTTACATGGAAGTGTTGATGTTCCTCAGCTCAAAACAGCAGAAATCTGGGTCTTATGCAAGATTTGTGCTTTCTGCTTTTACGAATCCAACGTGTTGTTTTTTTAATAAAAAGAGAGAGCAATAACTTATTACGTTAATTAGGAGTTTATTAGAAATATTTAAAGAAGACCTTAGTCACAAATGACATACGGATCACGTTTTCCTTTCTTTACAGTTTGTATGACGTCACATCATAGCCGATAGTGTTTTCACCGTTTTTTATTAAAAATTAAAAATACTTAAATAAGCATGTAATTTTTTTAATTGGATCTATACCATATATCCATCTTATACCTTTAAAAGTTGAAATCGAAAGATATATTTTGTTTTTCTGTAAGAAATACTCATTGAATCTATGAAATTAGGTATTTATATTGTGTGTTGCATAATACTCTATTAAGGATGAATTATTAAATTCCAGACTATTCGTCTACTAACCTAGCCGCTGTTCGAGTTCGTATCCCATCTTAAGAGAATTCTGAATGTTGCCATGTGGTTTTCTCTTTGACAGGGGAATGTTTTATGCACTCTTGATCTTTTGTTAGGCTTTCCTGCCCGTAGTGCGTGGCTTCGGGGATGTGATAATTTGAGTTAGAGCCAATTTCCGAAACATTTGAGGAATTTCTTTATTCTTGATATTTCACAGATCAAAAATATAGTAATAATAATAATAATAATAATTATTTCTAAAATATAATTAGTCTCGAACAAAACATATAAACGTAGAGTATCCGCAGAAAGCAGTTAGTTACCTGTGCGCGGGTGTTTACCCATAGCACACAGTGTCATTACATACTGATGTATTTTGATATACCTGTATTTCATTATTATTGAATATATAATTACACAAATTTATCATAATATAAAAATGTAGGGCTATTGGTTGTTTGTCTAGGGATTTGGAATCACGAGTCCGTGGATACAGATAAATGGCCGTCTATTAATTAAATACACCAATTAAAATTAGTGTATACAACGCCGTCTGTGTCTAAGGCCCGTATCGTCAGTCGTCCCTACAATTGTAGGGCTCGTTTATGGCCTTCGTGATTTCGATAATATTACGTCTTCTTCGCTAACGCACATGTATGTCCTCCTTTTTGATTTCCGTCATCTGACACTTCTGGCTTGAGGTTGTTTTGACGTTCAAGTCACATGACAGCAGAACCATAATTTATAATTTTATTTGCAAATAATTGAACAAATTCCACAACCTGTGGTATCTCCAAGAAATTGTTGAGTTAGGAAAATTGATGCACATCGATATATTATACTATAATATATTTGTGTGTATGAAAGTCCAAAAGCTTAAAACCAAGCTTGATGGAGGTTGGTAAGTTACAAAACAAATCATTGCATATCCTTATTATATACTTATCGCATTATTTTCAGGTGTGATTCATTATCACAGACTTTTCGAGAAGTTGGTTCCTCAGTAAAATGCTGTGTTTACTTTGTAAGGGTAAGGAGGTAAATGATCTTTCTAAGAAGGAATTTATGCATCCAGGCATAATTGAAGGAATCTTACAGAAACAAAACGTGAATTTGATTTACGTGACCGATATGTGTTACACTGCAATTTGTTAATTAAAGCCTGGCATAAACCTGTATAATCATAGTCACCATGATAAGAATTAACACTTACGAACTTGAAGACAAGCTGTGCTAAGCAAGTATGTATATAGTGTGAAGGTTCTGAAATCGAGTCCATGGTAAATTGACAATCATGATTTCAGGATATTAAAAAGAGCATGGGCATGTAGGAGCACTATTTATCAGACATTACAAAGTGTAAATGAAGTTAAATTCTTCATTACTTTATACCATCATGGCAGAAAATTCCACAACTAATTACAAGAAAACTGTGGGAATCAATTCCCTGTATAAAAGTCCAGAAGCTTACAACCAAGCTGTTCTCTTGATGAAGGTTGGTAAGTTACAAAACCAATCATGGGATATTCATATTATATACTTATCGCATTATTTTCAGGTGTAATTCATTCAAACAGACTTTACAAGAAGTTGGTTCCTCCATGGATAACAAACATATCCCGAATATACGTATATAATATATATATATTTATTGATTTAAATAAACTGAATTTAAAGCCTTATAAATTTATAAAGTTCATTAATTTATTATTTCATTCATCATATACGATTGTTCTTGTATCCACAGTTCTATACGTTTTTTGTATGTTTGTGTGTTTATTCATAAGGCAGAAGATTATAGACACGTGGGCAAATAATATTCAAATGATATTTGCTGAATTTGCTTATTCGTTCTTCGGGTCCGGAGTGATAGAGTTTTATACCTTGTGTCATGATTTTCTGGTTTCAGCAGTGTATGTTTATATTTATAAATAAATAACAGCAAGTTCATACAATATAACTGTCTGATAGTAAAAACACACGAATCCTGATATACTTTTTCGGTAGCTTAAAGAATGTTAACTCCTAAAATGATTTTCAAAATCCATTTTTGTACAACTTCAAGTTTCTTCAATGCCGTATTCAGTACTCCTCCTATCCAACAATGCCGTAACTTAATAGTGATTGGACTAATCCATAGTATAGAAATCAATTGTTTTGTAGATAAGAAATAACTTGAATCTTGGTATTAGCGATCTTAATTTATTTGTAAGATACTCAACCTGAGCATGCCATTTAAGGCGGTCATCAATAATTATCCCTAAACATTTTATTTTAGACGCTCGATTTATCTTTATACCATTATTATTTTTATATCTAACGATGAGAAATTTGAGATTATTATAGAAAGGTAAGGAAAATGTCTTACTAAAATTTATTGTTAAAATTTTAGGGTGAAAAAATCTTATTATATTTTCAAAATTTAACTCTGCTGTTTTTCGAACCGATTCCCATGATTTATCCTTGAAATAAATTACTGTGTCGTCTGCAAAACTTGTTATTTTGCCTCGTAAGTTCACAGAATGTAAGAAGAATAGGACAGGTCCTAAAACATTACTCTGTGGTACACCATAATTGATAAAACGTTCTTCGCTTACTTGATCCCCGATTTCCACACATTGTTTTCTATCGGTTAAGTAGCTTTCCATAAGTATGTAGGCATTACTTCTAAAGCCAAAGTTATCGAATGTTTCCCACAGCAGACTATGATTTACGGTATCAAAGGCTTTGGCTAGATCAACAAAGATACACAGACAGCAATCATCTTCATCTACCTAAAATATCATCTTGTGTTGATTTAGCCCCACTGAAACCAAATTGATTGTTATATAATAATTTATATTTATCAATAAATGCATTGAATCTTGTTTTTAAGACAAATATTTTAGTGAAAACCGACAATATTGATATCGGTCTATAATTTTCCATCTTCGTTCTTTGACCTGATTTGACAATGGGCTTAAGGCGGCTCCGTCGCAGTGAGTGTCAAGCCATTTACAAGGGTTCAGCTGGTTCAAAACTGACACTCCATTGTTCAATATTTTTGAATCAAATTCATACAGTATGTTGAGAAGATAATTGCCCAGGGTGCTATAGGAGCACTTTTTGAAATTTTGTTTTTGCACAAGTTTTATGATGGGTTGAAGTGCGCACTTTTTCTGTTCAACTTCGCGATTTTTTTAAAAAGAACCTAGTGAAAAAATGAAAAAGTGGCTCTATAGCACCCTGTGAGGTTTTGTTTTCAGCACTCTGTGAACATTTCATCCAAAAATATCAAAAAATAAAGCGTCAATTTCGAAGCGCGCAAACCTCTACAAAGCGTATTTTGGACGAATTTTGTCTACTGTTTCGTGCTGCCAAACCAAGCGTTGCGGCGCATTGTACGGACTAAGAAAGGACGTATTCAGATCATTTGTTGGCCCTATTTCATATAATATCGCGTAGATAAGATGTTCTGCAAATAGGTACTCATAATCGCGATCGCTGATACTCCTCGATTTTAAAGCCGTTTTACTTCCCACGTCATTGGCGAGGAAGTATTGCAATCGCAAAAATTTCTAAAATGAGATGTAATGTTTTTTTAAGTCATATGATATCTACATCACGAAAAACTATATCACTCATCATCAACTTAGAAATTACCGCTCGGATTTTTATGAAATTTCCACACGGGGTTACTAGTACGCCAAAGCTTTGTAGTTTTAGTCCAAAGGCAAGGGTGCTATAGGCAAAAAAGAAAAAGTAACAATTGCTGAAACTCCGTTTTTGACGTTACAGGGGTTCCTTATCATTGGCATAAAAAATTGTTTTGCTTAAAAAGGGGGGGTGAAATCAGTGAAACACGTTCTATTACTAAGAAGCTTCTGATCCCAGTGAATAGATGAAATTTAAGTATCGAAAATTCGTCGAATGATGTGTTCACGCTTTCAAAAAATCGGTACCTGCTCTATAGGTTTGATACCAACAGCCAACAGAGCTGCAACTGCCGACAGTAGGGAAGAATAAATTCGGATATCACTCCAGTCAAGTATAGTGGAATTTAGCGTGGAACTTTAAAATTATCGATATGTCAAGGAAATATGTTTTGAGAACGATCATTCGGTAAATTTTATACCTGCATTTTCATTTGAGTTTCATAACCCATGAAATGTTGTGTGTCTTTGCGCAAGAATTATGGTGGGTTGAAATGCTCACTATTTGTGCTCAACTTATATTTTAAAAAGATCCTAGTGGATAAAATCGAAAAAGTGGATCGCTGACACCGCTGCAAGAGTTTCATTTGGAAATAATAAAAAGTAAGCTGTGAAGTGCAACTCGGTTTTTGGGCGAAATTCATCTACAATAATTTCAAGAACTCAAATTCTAATTCGTTTATGCATGTCAATAAACACAATTGTGTTTACAAGGGTCGTGTGGTAGATGGTAACAATTGAACGAGGGTCATAAAAATATCATATGCCGTCAAAATAAGAGGAAACAGTTAGGTAGTTTTTGCAAAGCAATAAACAGGTAGGCTTTACCTGGATTAGGTACATGTCTTGTCTACTGTAATAGGTAGATGGAGGTGATGCTGCCAGAAATGGATGTGTGCGATCAATAAACAAACCACAAGATTGAACTGCCGTGTACAATGATTTTTGTACTGCCTTTTTTATTGCCTGACTTAGAAAACTCTGTTGGGTATATGATCGAGTTTACTGGAACTTTGCAGCTTGTTGTCTGCCTTCTTCTACAAAGTTCACCTAATCGAGTCGCTGTCAACCTTATCCTCCGATGAAGACGCCACAAATCACAGTACTGTGATTTGGTTTGTTCGATATGCAAAATCTCCTCGTCAATTTTTCTAAGTTTTCCTAAAAATTCTTGCTTAGCAACCTCCAAATCAATGTCGTTCATGTCAGGTTTTTGACAGAATTCGCCATAAAACTATTATATATTTTCTTTGGAATTGCTATCCGAATTGTTAGTTATTTTTATATCAACTTTTTTTGGTCTAAGTTTCTTTCCAAGATTCTTGCGTTTGAGTCTTTGTTCCATCTTAGTGATAAGCGAGGTTGGACTAAGCTTAGAACGCAAATGTATTTGGACCACATAGACAGGCCGCTCGGTATTGTGGCTCACTACAGCTGCAGCACGTCTTCCATGGTATGGCCTCTTCTTGCAATAATTTATTCGCTTACCCAATGTATTTTGCGATTATAGAGTTGAACTACTCCACACTATTGTTGTCCTCATCATGAATTAAACTCACTGAATTCGTAATTAAAATGGTCGCATATGACCTTTTATTGTCCATTATCAACCTTGATAAAAAATTCACTCAAGAATAATCACACCAACAAGAGTACAACACAACAATTCAACAACATAATATCGACGAACAGTAACAAGGGTAGAACAATACTAAATGATCACTAGCTGAGTACCAAAATAGGAAACGATTTACAGGCTAGATCGCTAATGAAATTCGACTCAGTTATTATAAAAATTTACCTCGGTAGGCACCCGCAGTCATCCTTTCCTCTTTTAAAGTAGCGCCGACCACCGTCTAAGACCAGCCCACAATCGTTTCCTTTTCACCCCCCCCCCCCCATTACCTCAGCAGATGGTACTCGTGATTGTAGGAGCCCCGTTAACAACTGCAAGTTTTAAGATATTTGGAAAATATACACATAGGAGAATTTCCAAGATCAAACAGTGAGAATCTGACATAGCCCCAAACTTTGCTAAAAAAAACTTGACTTCCTTTGCTCACTCTGTATCAGTATATAAATGGAAGAAATATACCGATTGAACCCTGGACGGGTTATAATAGCGGCACTCGGTATCTCTTTCTGTTATGAAAATATCGAGATTTGCAGTTGGGTAAAATTTTCCATGTTGCAAAGCAACTGTCCACCAGTTTAGTTATATCTAACCCTCTTTCTCTAATTATTTCTTTCAATCGCACAATATAGGTGTCTTCCCGTATGCGTTATACAAACTAACTGTAACGACTCCAATTCACACTTACACCATCTATGCCAGTGTGCTGCAGTAAAAATCGACATCGATGAACTGCCGGAAGGCACTTTTACCTCTCATAAAACATTCATAAGCGCTCACAAGATTTTTCCAAGTTCAGTTAAAATTTATAACCGCTCAGTAACATACTTCCTTGGGTAAAAACAACGAATATAGCCTTAGCGATTCTCCGAAACCGTAAATTCCAATATTGGGAATCCGATTACAATATCCCATTGTAAGCTTTGCCAAATAGATTAATAAAACTTGAGGCTTTAATATCAGTTTCCGCTGCTACCAAGGATTTCTCCTTTATAGATAAAATATTCCAATAAATTGCCGGCGCAAACATTATTGGATCGCCACAAAGTGATCCTGGCGGTCGAAAACTTTTCAAACACACCTACCGAATGAACCAATAAAATTGTAAACGTACGTAGCACACTTGAACT